GGGCTGTCCCCAAGCCACCAGGGGAGAAGCTGGGGCCGTCTCAGGTCACCCAAGGGGGGCACGGGGACATCCCGGGCTGTCCCCAGGCCACCATGGGAGAAGCTGAGGATGTCCCTGCTCATCCCTGGAGCACACGGGGACATCCTGGGCTGTCCCCAAGCCACCGTGGGGGTTGAGAGGACCCAGGGATGGCCTGGCTCATCCTGGGGTGACATGGTGACACTCTGGACTGTCCCCAAGCCCCCCTGGCAGATAGGGTGACCTGCAGATGTTCTATAGGTCAAGGGGACACCCCATACTGTCCCCAAGCCACTCTGAGGTTAGGGGGACTTGGGGACATTGGGGACAACCTGGAGACCCCCCGCACTGGCTGCAAGTCACCATGGGGGTTGTGGCAGCCTGGGGACACCCTGGATTGTCCCCAGGTCACCCAGAGGGGCAGGGAGTCCTGGGGACATCCTGGACCATCCTGGGAGTGGGGGGGACACAGGAACCCCCCGGACTGTCCCCAACCCCCCGTGGGGGATGGGGGGACACGGAGAGGTCCCGGCCCGTCCTGGGGCGCCTTGGGGACACTGGGGACATCATGGATGGATTAGGGAGGACCTGGGGACAAGGCGGGCTTTGCCTGGGGACAGGGGGGGGGGGTGGTGGCAGTGCCAGGCGCGGAGCAGCCCCAATCCCCTGCGGCATCCGGTAATTCCGGCTAATGACGCGGCCGGGCGCTGGCCCGCTCGAGTCCCCTCGTCCCATCCCCGTGTCCCCTCGTCCCATCCCCGTGTCCCCTCGTCCCATCCCCGTGTCCCCTCGTCCTGTTGCCGTGTCCCCTTGTCCCATCCCCGTGTCCTCCTCCATCCTCCTGTCCCCATGTCCCACTCGTGTCCCCTGTCCCATCCCCGTGTCCTCCTCCATCCTCCTGTCCCCACGTCCCGCTCGTGTCCCGTCATCCTGTCTCCATGTCACCTTGTCCCGTCTCCGTGTCCTGCTGTCCCACACCTGGTCTCCCACCCCGTCTTCTTGTCCTGCTCTGCTCCTCTGTCCCCCCACCCCATCCCCGTGTCCCCCCGCCCCATTTCCGTGTCCTCCAGCCGTGTCCTTTATCTCCACGACCTTTTCCATTTCTGCGTTCTCACCTCCCCATCTTCCTCTCCCCTCTCCATGTTCCCCTTTTCCATTTCCGCATCATTCTCCATGTTCATGTCCTCTGCCGTTTCCATGTCCCCTCATCCTATCTCCGTGTTCTCCATCTCCGTGTCGTTCCTTATCTCCATGGTATTTTCCATTTCCATGTTCTTTCTCTTCATCTCCATGTCCTTTTCCATCTACATGGGTGCCGTCTCCATGTCCTTCATCTTTTTGTCCTTCTGCATCCATCTTCACATTCTCTTTCTCCATCTCCATGTCCTCCATCTCCGTGTCCTCCATCTCCATGGCCTCCACCTCCATGGCCTTCATCCATCTCCATGTTCCCCTTCTCCATTTCCGTGTCCTTCTCCCTCTGCAAGTCCTCCGTCTCCATATCCTCCACCTCCATGGTCTCCATCTCCATGGTCTCCATGTCCATGTTCTCCATCTCCTTGTCCTCCACCTCCATGTACTCCATCTCCATGGACTCTGTGTCTATGGTCTCCTTCTCAATGGCCTCCACCTCCATGGACTCCATCTCCCTGGAGTCTGTGTCTATGGTCTCCATCTCAATGGCCTTCATCCATCTCCATGTTCCCCTTTTTCATCTCCATGTTCCCCTTTTTCATCTCCATGTTTTTTTCTATCTCCATGTCCTTTTCCATCTTCACGTCCCCCACCTCTTTGTCGCCCACCTCCATGGCCTCTACCTGCATGGCCTCCACCTGCACGGCCTCCGTGTTCATGGCCTCCATCCATCTCTATGTTCCCCTTCTCCATCTTCATGTCCTTTTCCATCTCCTTGTCCTCCACCTCCATGGTCTCCGTGTCCATGGCCTCCACCCATCTTCATGTTCCCTTTCTCCGTCTCCATGTCCTTCTCTCTGTCTCCTTGTTCTCCATCTCCTTGTCCTCCCACCTCCACGTCCTCCACCTCCGTGTCCTCCATGTCTATGGCCTCCATGTCCATGGCCTCCACCCATCTTCATGTTCCCATTCTCCATCTCCTTGTTCTCCATCTCCTTGTCCTCCACCTCCATGGTCTCCGTGTCCGTGTCCTCCACCCATCTTCATGTTCCCATTCTCCATCTCCTTGTTCTCCATCTCCTTGTTCTCCATCTCCACGTCCTCCACCTCCATGTTCTCCATGTCTGTGGCCTCCATGTCCATGGCCTCCACCCATCTCCACGTTCCCCTCCTCCATCTCCGTGTCCTTCTCCTTCTCCCCCCTACCCCTCCGCGTCCCCATCCGTGTGCTCCATCTCCGCGTCCCGTCGCGTCGCCGGCGGCGCCCGGACCCCTGGGCCCTCCCTTCCCGCAGCGCATCAAGGAGGGCAGCGTCATCGACCGCGTCGCCGTCATCGGCGTTGGGGACATGATCGAGGCCATCAACGGGCAGAGCCTGGTGGGCGCCCGCCACTACGAGGTGGCCAAGATGCTCAAGGAGCTGCCCAAGGGCCGGACCTTCGCCCTCAAGCTCACCGAGCCCCGCAAGGCCTTTGGTGAGACCCGGTGGCGGGTCCCCAGGGCCACCCCGGTGTGTCCCCGTGGCCGTGTCACCCATGGGTGGGCTGGGAGGGACCCAAGTGATGAGGTCCCGTGGTGACCTCCAGGACTGGAGATGGTTCCTCCATAGGGGAGCTCTGGGACTTGGGGAACTGGGAGCCCCCCGGTAGGACAGAGAGGTCCCCAGGGCTACCCTGGGGTGTCCCTGTCCCTTTGTCACCCTTGGGTGGGCTGGGAGGGACCCAAGTGACAAGGTCCCGTGGTGACCTCCAGGACTGGAGATGGTTCCTCCATAGGAGAGCTCTGGGACGTGGGGAACTGGGAGCCCTCCAATAGGACAGGGGTGTCTCCAGGGCCACCCTGGAGTGTCCCCTGTCCCTTTGTCACCCGTGGGTGGGCTGGGAGGGACCCAAGTGACGAGGTCCCATGGTGACCTCTAGGACAGGAGATGGTTCCTCTGGTTCCTCTCTATTGGAATGATGGGACTGGGAGCCCCTCACTGGGACGGGGGTGTCCCCAGGGCCACCCCAGGGTGGCCCTTGTCACCCGTGGGGGTGACCCGGGTGCCCATGTCCCCGTGGTGTCACTGGGGGTCCCTGTGGTGGGGACCCCGCTGCCCCGGAGGGGACATGGGGGGTGGCTCAGGCTGAGCTGAGGGGGGTGACAACAGGAACCCTGTCACCTTGGGG